CCGCAGGTGACACCACGGCTATCACTGCAGGTGACACCATGACCATCGCTTCAGGTGGCTCCATGGCCATTACTTCAGGTGACATCACAGGCATCACTGCAGGCAGCACCGAGACAATCACTGCAGGCATCACCACGGCCATCACTGCAGGTGACACCACGGCTATCACTGCAGGTGACACCACGGCTATCACTGCAGGTGACACCACGGCTATCACTGCAGGTGACACCACGGCCATTACTAGAGGTGACACCATAGGCATCACTGCAGGCAGCACTGAGACTATCACTGCAGGTGACACCACGGCCATCACTGCAAGTGACACCAGGACCATCACTGCCGGTGACACTGTGACTGTTACAGCCACAGCCCCACTGAACCCAGCCACGGAGGCAGGACTTCTCCCAGTCCCAAACACTGTCACACTGGGGACACCACCAGCCACCACCAGCCCTGCCACCGCCCCAACTCCTGCCTTTGGGACACAGAGGGGACCGACCACAGCCCCACGCACATCTGCCCACACCACTTCTGGGCAACGAAATCTTCTCCCCGAGCCCCCACCCACCCACAGGCTGATCAGTGAGTGGATTTTCTTCTCCCCAAAGCGCAGAGCAGGAGGGGCTGTCAGCCAGCCAGGGACCGTGGTGGCCGAGGGTACAGCCCGGCCGGGGTGACCCGACTGCTTTGCACGTTGGGTTGCCAGATTCAGAGGGAAAGGTGAAACAGGGCATCTGAGAGCATCCTCATCCCAGTTAAAACTGGGTTACAAATTGGGTTACAAGCCATCAGAGCTCTGGTGGGATGCACTGGGGGGGCACAGGCACAGCAGCCTGGTGGCAGGCAGATGAGATGAGTTTGCCCTGGCCGCAGGAAGGATGGAGCAGACATTAATGGTTTTTCACCTTTTCCATTAACCTCCTGCCCGTGTCAGCGCTGGCGGCCTCGCTCTACCCATAGGGTGGAGCAGACATTGATGGTTTTTCACCTTTTCCATTAATCTCCTGCCTGTGTCAGCGCTGGCGGCCTCGCTCTACCCCTTTGGCACAGAAGAAGGGGACCAAGAGTGCGTCCAGAGGACGGTGGATTTTAACTCCCCGCTGTTCAAGCCGGAGATCGGCTTCCCCTTCGGGAAGTCTCTGCGGAATGCTCTCTACGTGAGTTCCCCAGACATTGATGGTTTTTCACCTTTTCCATTAATCTCCTGCCTGTGTCAGCGCTGGCGGCCTCGCTCTACCCCTTTGGCACAGAAGAAGGGGACCAAGAGTGCGTCCAGAGGACGGTGGATTTTAACTCCCCGCTGTTCAAGCCGGAGATCGGCTTCCCCTTCGGGAAGTCTCTGCGGAATGCTCTCTACGTGAGTTCCCTCCCATCACTGAGGACATCAGGAATGTGCAGCCTCTTTGGTAGAAAAAACTCCATGGAAATAGAGCAGAAACCAAATTTAATCCAAATGTTAATATTTTTGCAATTTAAAATGACTGGTTTCTGCTCACCCATGGAGGCTAAAAGCCATCCTAGGAGCTGCCTGCGACGTCAGCAAATAACGAGTTCTTCTGGTTAGTTTACAGATAATGGACAGATCATTTTCCCACCCACGGACAACTACATCCCCTCCAACCCCAACCCTCCTCCCCAGGGCTTCAGCGGCCAGGAGGCTTTGCCGATGGTGGCCGCCTTTTGGGACGACGCAGATTTCTCCCAGGGTGTCGGCACCACCTGGTACCAGGTCGGGGCCACCAAAGATGTTCTCCTGGGTAAGCCCAGCTCCCAGCTTGCCCATTTAACCCTTTTTCTTGCCAACCTGCAGGAGTACTCCACCCTCCACTCTACCCAAGACCCCCTTGTCCATGACGTGGAAGCAAAGATAGAGAAATACCTGGAAACCCCCTATGTAGCAAAATGGACCTTGAAGGTGACGTGGGAGAAGGCTCCAGCTTACCCCTCCCAGCAGGATGACACCCAGGTGGGCAGTGGGTGACCCAGGTGATGGAGGGGACTGTCACCAGTGATGGCCAGGGCAGGGCTGGGTTGCTGGTCTCCCACAGCTTGATGTGGACCTTTTGGGGCTCCCTGCCTCAGGGAGAGCAAGGGAGGGTTTGGGGGCGCTAAGGGGGTGCCTTGGGTTTCTTCAGACGAACACCTACCAGGCTGTCCTCACCACCGACGGGAGCCGCTCCTTCGCCCTGCTCCTCTACCAGGACGGCGGGATGCGGTGGGGCTACAC